CTTCAGAATTGTTCTCGCTGTTGACCTTGAAGACGGTACTAAATTTGGTAACTTGACCTTTGGTGGTTGCTATAGGGGTGACCTTTGCGCATCAAGGTTACTAGATTTAGTAAGTTGACCACTGACTATAACTTTGACCTGTCAGAGTTACTAAATTTAGTGGCAGTTTTACCAAACTCTTTCCACTGGTTAATAGTTTGAAATTTTTTTGTACTTGAGAATAAATTTGAAGGTTCTTTTGTGCATGGTATTTGGGTTTCTGGTCGTGGACCGGTGGGCATTGAACCGGTCAACTCCTCTTCGGTTTCGTGGATAAGTTGGAGACCTTGCGCCTCAGCAGATTGGAAACTGGGTCCAGTTCGATGTCTATTGATTGAGTTAGTCGATGAATACCATGCTTCTGGGAATTCTCTTGAATGCCTTGTGCTCGCGTGATCCAGAATGTGAAAGTTATCCAGATTGAACGTATATCCTTGTTGGTCCTCATGCACGGACATCAATGAAAGAGGGTCGTATCTTCTTATCGCAAGTTTGTGTTCATGAATTCTTGTTGCAACGTTTCTTCCAGTTTGTCCAATGTAACATTTGTCACAATTGTTGCATTCGATTTTGTAGATGACATTTCTTCGCTCATCCTTTTTGATTTGTCCCTTCGGCCTTGAAATGTTTCTTCTCATAGTTTTTGTAGGCTTGTGGGCAATTATAATGCCTTGTGGTTTGAGCATTCTTGCGGCCATTTCCGAGATATTCTTGATGTATGGAAGTACTATCTTCTTGTCGGATTGTGTTCGTTGACTTGGCTCTCTTTGTGTTCTGTACAAGATTCTCCGTCTGAAGTTTCTTGGGTATCCGTTTCGTTGGAATAATCTGAAGAGATGCTTCTCTTCTTGTTCTCTTAGTTCCGTTGTGCTGCAATGTGTTCTGGCTCTCTTAAAAAGAGTTCGTACGCAGGACGACTTATGAATATTTGGATGGTTCCTTTGAAAGTTCAGCACTTGGTCCGTATGGGTTTGTTTTCGATACACCGATGTCTCCAGTGTTCCGTTGTCGGTTCTTCTCACCAGTACATCGAGGAATGACAATTGCTTGTCCTTTTCTTCTTCCATAGTAAACTCTATGCCGTTGAAGATGTTGTTGATCGTTGTTTGTGCCTCTTCGATCTTCGATTGTTTAATGATAACGAAAGTATCATCAACATATCGGACCCAAAGTTTCATTTGAACCCTTGGTAACGCAATATTTTCAAGCTCTTGCATCACAGCTTCCGCAAGGAATCCGGATATAGATGATCCAATTGGTGTTCCTTTGATTTGCTGATTGAGTTTGCCGTCAAATTCGAAGTATGTGCATATACACAAATCCATCAGTTCGCAAATGGTTCGAATTCTCACTCAAAGATTCAAATATTTATTATGGGAATAAGTTACAAGCTCATGCTTTTCTGGTACCATAGGTTCGTGCGGTGGAGTAAGAAACAGTGATACATACAATTCTTTGAGTAAAATGTCACGTGATACGTGCTTTTTCCACTTATGTTGGAATGTAAGATGTGCTAATGTTTCATCGAGCCTCAGTTTGAAAGACTCA